TTGCCCCCCCCCCCCCCGGTTGATTTACTGCCATTTTCCCATTTTTTTTGTGGGGACCAGGATTGTTCACAGGAGACCTACCAAATTTACAGGTTCCACGAAGATTACAGAATAATGAATTTGGTAGGTCTTTGCCTATGGAAGTCAAGCCCCTAGGCTTTCTTTGTTTCTGAAATTTGGAAAATAAGTTTTTTTTTTTTTTTTTTTTCTAAGGCCTACTTTGTGTATTTAGATCCTTGGAAAGAAAGTGATGTATAAGTATCAGTCCCTGTATGTTAGTTTATATTTCTAACACAAGTTTATTTTCTTTACAAAACCTGCCTCACTTCTGGTTTTGTGTGTTCTCAGGGCCTCGTAGATGAAGCTGATGCCTTTCCTCAAGTCCTACAAAATGCTGTAGAATGGATGAGACAGAAAGAACTGGGGACTAAATATAGCTATTCCATACTGACTGATGGGTATGACTTGAAAAGGACGCACATTTTATCTTGTAATGTTTAAATGAACTTTAAAACTGCAAAACATTTTAAATTAACCCATTAACCCTAAGAACAAGCATATCCAAAATGAGACCACAAAAAAGGTCAAACCATGTTATTTTCTTGCTTTGTTACAGTTGGGAAAATGAAATTGAATCCAGTAGGTGGCACTGCTTCTCTTTCAGCATTCTGTTATGGGTTTATATGGATCGAAATGAAAGCTAGCAAACATTTGATTGATTGATCAGTCTGCCATCCTTCCCAAAAAAGGCTCGTGGCGGCTTGCAATAAAAGACAAAAACAAAACAAACCCTCCACAAACTAAGCAAATTACAGAAGCAAAACAAAATATTAAAATAAGATAGTAAAACAGAACTATACCCTTTCTGCCCCCAAACCTCACAATCAAATCCAGTCTTGCCCACCCTTACCCCTCATGCTCCTCTGCATCTGACGAAAGAGAGTACACCTCTTCTCAACCAAACCTTACTTCCCAACGCCGGTTCACCACAAAAGAACCCATATTTCCCCATATTCCCTCTCAACCCTACCCACTCCTACTCCCCTCATGCTTAGGGGAATTCCCCCCCC